TGTATGGTGATATATTATGTTCATATTGAAACTTAGCAATAAAGCATTTGAAGATCAACAGTTGAACATAAAAAAGAGTACGCGTCAAAGTAAACTGCAAGTGTTAAACTCTTACCAAATTAAATACATGTTAAATTTGTATCTTATAATATGAACACGTCCATCTTTATGTCTGAACAAAACCATGTGTCATTTTCAGTGAAAATTTCAAACTATATACTGATGGAAAAGCGAAAAATGCAAACCATAGGCAGACGGATGGGCTGGTTAATCTTATTTGGGTATGTGTATGTCCGGCGGAAGACTGAAGGTTAGGAGAGTAGATTGCAAGATTTTTTTGTTTTAGTTACTTTGAGATTTTTTGGATTTTTGTATTAAATATAAAAAGATACATGTATTTAATTATAAGTACAAAAGGCGATAAAAACGATTTTATTTATATATTTACAACCACTTCACTACGATATTGCACTTTTGTTGAAGAAAGCAAATATATAACTTAAAAAAGTGACAGTATTTCAAAACGTTTTAAAGGGCAACTGAATCTACCCATACGACCAGTGTTGACTAGGATCAGCAAGCACATACCCACATGTCCGATCATAGTCTGTATTGCTCGATATTCAGTCGATACTTTTATTGAAATTTTCACTAAACATGATAAAAGTTTTTTTTATTTCAATTTGAAAGATGTACAAGTATATTTTTATGATATTTAGTAGGGTGAGAGTTAGAAGTTGAGAAGTTGAAAATCAGCAAGTAAGTGTTAAATGGAAATACGCGTTTAAGTGATCCACGTATATTTGATGCTATGCGAATATTGTATGGCGCGGTATACTTATATTACTTGTGATATTTGAAAGAGTAAAGTCTAGAAAAACTGGATAGAAATGAGAATTTTTAACAGAAACTGTGATGGGGCGGTACAGCTGGTATCTTAAATTTATACACGAAAGCAAAGAAAAAGTTTTTCTTTTCGAAAGTATAGTTTGAGTAATCACCAGTCAATCACCGACTAGGTAACCCGATTTTCTTTTAGGGACGGGTGTGCTACCGGATGTTTTGCAGTCACACTTTAAAATTAAATGATTTAAAAATAAATAATGTTAGTATATAACGGTTGAACGATTTTAATCTATAGTTGAACAAAATATATAATGAGAAAACAATATTTTTAATTTTAAAAAGTTATTACATGTAATTAATGTCATAGTTTTCTTAATAATATGTCCTCGGTCCTATAATTTAGGGGATTCATAAGAAACTAAAATTAATATTTAACACAATAGACCTGTTTTTATATTTAATGCCGAAATAGCGTTTCTATTTCGAGTATGTTGTTGTTTAATTGGTTAATTTTTTTTTACATTTTTTTTACAAATTAGTTCAAAATGTCTTCTTTTATCTCTGTTCGAGATAAATGCTCCATAATTTAAGAAATAAAATGCTCAGGACTACAAGGTGACACCATTTATTATGCACGTGTAATGTAACAAGTAAAGATCTTGCGATAAGGGGTAATAACTGTTTTATCTGTCAATGTATACAGTTAACGTTGATTTATCATTTTAGACATTTTAAAATTCATATTTGACAGTGACAACGACACTGACAACGGATTTATTAAAGTGTGCCCATCGGCCTTTCAACCCCCATCTCATTACATGTACAGATTTTAAATACATAGGACAGGAATTTTTCAAATTTCATGAAAAAAAATCAAGCTTCGTATCAAATAAAACACTAAGAAAGTTTCATAAAAACCATAATAAATTTGAATTATTTAACTATATAAAAAATAACATACAAATGATTTTTTAGTACAATTCAAATACATTTTGTTTACATATCGGATATCAAAGGTCACGTGACATCACATGTACTCACTTACCTCCTCCGTGCAAAAATATCTGATATTACAATGGGAGGAAATAAAATCCCCGGGGTAACCGTATCCGGAAACCGTATACCCGGGGAGCGCTAACCCGTAGTAGGTGTAACCTTGGTAACCAGATACTAATACGGGCCAAATTAGTAACAATATCGACTGAAATGGTGAGAATCTGAGTCAAATGGGTGCTTAATGAAATTTTCTGATCCGATATCATTTCATGAGATAATTTGGCAAATTAGTTTCACATAGAAAGTGAGATGTATATATGCTACATGTGTAATATAGCCTTGATTGCAATCTACCGGACTGTTGTGGGTAAATATGAAATAATACCCATAATTCTATGCGCATGTATTACGGTGTTTCAGTGCAATTAGCGCGGGAATTTGCTGACTGTTGTCTGTGACTAAGACAAAAATTGACACTCCTCGCTAAGTCTCCTACAGATATTTGAGGAATGGGGAATAAGTTATTATTTAAAAAAATACAGTCTTAAACACTTATCAAAAATACATTTATTTGAACCGTCAAAAGAAACACTTATGTCAAAATTGTGTTGTTGTTTTTTCTTCGTCTCCTTATCTAAAATCACCTGATATCTACAGCATGAAACTTCAAGGTTCTAAATATTACCACGATTTCTTCAAATTTAATCAGTATTTGCAGAATATTTTCTAATGAATTTTAATGCAAAATGACTTAATTATCGTAGCAGACTGATTTTAGTTCTGGCTATCAAAGTACTTGAAGTATCAAAATGAACAGGGCAAGTGCATTCACGAAAAACGTGAGTTCTGCAAAGATGTATTTAAACCATATCTGATAGGAACCTGTGTGTAATGATGAATTAACGAGAAAAAAAGCCGAATATTTAACTATTTTAAACAAACACATAATGTTGGATACGCTAGTGGTTTCACTTTATCTTTAAGATCAATTCGTGTCGTATAAAAGTCAAATGAAAATGCATGAAAACATGCGTATGAAAATTCTGTCCGTGCTTAAAGGTGTCGAACCCTGTGTGGTTCCATTCTATCCTTAAATTAGGCCACCGCAAAACTACTCACGTAAATTCAGCCCCTTTGTACACATAAAAACTGATAAAACATTTAAAATCTTGTATCAAATTCACTTTTATAAACATAATGGCCGTAAAATCGCGGCGTGAATGCCGTAAATCGTTCCATATACCACAAGTCGTCATGCCGAGATGTTCTAAAAATAAGATGCCATTTTTTTCAAATAGCGTTAGATTCAGATCTGTAATGACATTAAGACGACAGAATTGTTCTATCGGAGCAGATCTTATGCAAAAGATGTATAAAAACGTTCCAGCAAATAAGCTTAAGAAATTAACAAGTTTTGACTGTTCTTCACTATGAATACTGGTGGCATACAAAATGTTAGTAATCGGAGCACGCTTGGTTTGGCATATTTATGGTCTTGAACAACGGGGAAGAAATATATAAAAAAAAACTTCTCACATTACAGAGGTGCTTGCAAGCCTTCAAGTTGTACGGCTATTTGACTACAAATTCAGGGGTCTCAAGTTTGATCCTGGTTACGCTAACTAACTTATGCTGAGACTTTCGAGTAATATTTTAAACTGAGATCCCGTGTTTAGCTACTAATAATAATATATAACATACGTTAACCCTTAGACTGATGGCGGCAGACGATGATAATCCAGCGTGTCCGTGCCGCCATGATCATGGTCTGCATAGTTCGCTTTTTACTTAGTACATATTTTTAAACAAAATCCTGAAAAAAATAAAAAAATTTGTCCAGATATGAAAGATGGGCGGGTTCATTAAAGATATTTAGCATGGTAAGGATTAAAGAACCAGCACTTACTTCAGGAAAGGGTAACTCCAAAAAAAATGAATGACTGGAATGCTAAATTCGCCCTTATGAGTTCATGGAGGCCACAACAAGTTGATGTATATCTGATTTGATCAAAATCTCTGAAGAAAAAAAAAACTCAAATGTTTAGTTGGACATCTTTTAAATGTAATCACAAGTCAGTGTCAAATTCGAGCTCAAGTTAATTAATAAGCTTCTGTTTCTTGGAAAAATGAACAAGTAGTTACAAAGTGACATTAGTGGAAGAAGCAGACGACAAATATTCATGTACGTTGTTGAGGATACAGGTTCAGGCTTGCACTCACCCGTCAAAGCTTGCGCCAGTTCATACTTTACAAAATCTTAAAGACAAAATTAAAACGGTACACTTCCAATCTAAATTGAAAGAAAACCATCACAAACGAATTAGAAACAAATAAAAATTACAAATGTTACAATTTATAAAAGATAACCTGTACTTATTCGGTGTCCCACTGTGAAGTCAACCACAGGTCCATAACATTGAAATTACAGGCCGTAATTTTTCTACCATTAAATTCGGCTCATATGTTTATTTCATTTTCGTTTATATAACCCTCACGCAAACCGTGAAAATAATTGAAAAATCTGCGTAATTTGTAACGTTTTCTAACATTATCCATCTTAAACCGAGGATGGATATTGCACGATTTGTAGAATGTCGTCTGCTAAAAAGATATATCATATAATGCCGACATGTATTATTTATATATAGCATATCTTCATCTTTTATTTGTAATAGAAAATCACGTTTTGTCATTTCAAAACAAAATAATGATGTTTTACACAGGTGGATTTGGAACACAAAATAGGTGTAATTGTTCTTCTGGTTTTAAAAACTTACAAAAAATGTCTAATCAAGAAAACGCATAAGGTTGAATTTATGAACCATTTTGGGACATAAACTTCTAATTTTCTGGTGAATGTGGTCATTTTCTGTGAAACACTGACTAATAATCTAACAAGTTTAAAAATTACGCTTAATAATGAAAAAATTACTCATTTTATGTCATTTAATCAAATACTACAAGTTCGGATTATTTTACTATGATAGGAAGTTCTTTGATACCACGTTTATGTAAATTAGCTCTGACAGGTAGCATAATTCACCCCTATGCCCCACGCGCGTGACAAGAGTAGGCGGGGTTACGATAACAGTAGCTCGTTGCTATTGGCTGAGGTGTATTCATGCTCTAAAGTTATCGTGGCCAGTAGCTATTTCTTTACAACGTAAGAACGAAATACTATCATAATCACCTTGACAGTTTCTGAGATACACTCGCGCATTTTCATCTCCAGGAATGATATAATTCTACTTAATAAAACAATTAATGCATCTGTTCGTAACATAGAAAAATACGTTGAAAAGTTGATGTCAGAACAATAAGCATAAACATTTTATCTTGTGCGTAAAAAGTGCGAAGTATTAAAGTAGTTGACTTAAGGTGTCAGTGACTTTTTGTGTGGACTTATTAAAATAATATTCATGTTAGATACAACCTTGCGGGATACTATGAGTGACACCGACGATAGTCATGGTGATCCATGCAGCCCGACGGCTCTTTCGCCGGACTTGAAGAAAGTTGACGTTGACGGCGACGCACTGCCGGAGAAAATTCAGGAGGCAGTTTCTCACGTCTTGAAAGGATATGACTGGTCCCTTATCCCTATGCCACAGAGAGGACCGGGTGGTGAGAAGAGAAAGCCTCACATTAAGAGACCAATGAATGCTTTCATGGTTTGGGCTCAGGCAGCCAGACGGAAGTTAGCGGACCAGTATCCACATTTGCACAATGCTGAACTGAGCAAAACTTTGGGAAAACTTTGGAGGTATGCTTCAAGAATAATCTTTTTTTTTTCATAGCCTTTTTTATAATTTGAACGTAAAACAAAGCTTAAATCTTAGAAAAAAGCATTTTTTACTTCATTGACTTCATTTTTTAGAAATACTTAAGGCTAATTCTTTTGACAATGTGTGTATAATATTCACTTAAGATAACAATATTTCCGAGGACTATTTCCTGCAGATATCTATCATCATCCACAGTGCGAACGCTCTCGTGAATCCATGACGACACGAGAAACACCTTGGACGCACTTGGCAGACGACAACCGAGCGTTATCTCAGAGTAGTAATTAGCAATTAACGCTAATTAACATTATTTTCCTCTCTAATAGCTGTTAATATGATTGCTTCTGTTTGTCAAAGTACAGTATCATAATTATCAAGTACTTGCCACATGATATTTTCGCAAGGTGGTTGTCAAAACTGATAAGCCATTTGTGCTATCGACGTCACTGTTGCCAGATTGCTTATCAGTAAGCAAGAAATATTTGTAATTTTGATAAACGTAAATTTAGACGAAACAAAGCAGCAAAAAACACCAACAAAACATTTTTTTCTTTAAGGGTATACGTTAAGAGTACTCAGAATTTTTTTTTCAATTACATGTCGAATTATCAGCTTACGGGAGCAGAAAAAAATGTCATTTTTTATGTAAATAAGTTTCAAGTATCTTTTACCTACCGTATCAAGCACAATATCAATTTTAATTTATCATTCACGGTATAGTATAAACAGCATAAAAACATGACAAAGTTAACTAATGTCCAACACTTGTTTATTTATTTTAATTACACTAATTTATCTTAACACCAACATTATTCATCAAATGCATCCCCTAAACCTTTCATTATATTCTTTTTTTATTTACTTACTTTATCGTTGCCACATAATGAACAAAAAAACAGCCACACAACGTTTTTTATAAATTTGTAGATTAAACCACTCAACAACCCTGTTGCATTTTTTAATTCTTCAAACCGATAGCTGATTTTAATATAAATGCCCTACATAGATTTATTACATACGAACTTTGTGCAGTCAGATGTAATAACAAAATCTATATTAATTTCTTAAACTCGGAGTTTAAGCTTGCTTTTTTTTACTTTAGTATGATTGAAATATCAACGTAAATTTATCTGTCTCGTAATGTTAAGTATCATCAAAATTGAAGTGGCATGTTTAAGTCGGGCTCAAGTCTCCCAAAGTACCTTTACTGAGGTTTCAGTTTACGTCATACATACTTCTTAGCATAAAAATGTTCTTTCCAATGATTATCTACGGTTTTGAATAAGGGGTTTTCGTGATTTGGAGTGTCATATTAGAAAAGTGATTTTTACGAGTTTACATTGCTATGCATAATGCAAAAAATTAATTTAAATTATTGATTCTCATTTTAATATAATAATATTGAAAAAGAAAGTCTCAGCTTCAAAGCAGTTTTAAAAATGTAACTATATACCACCAAGGTATCGCAGACTGACGGACAGTGTCATTGAATAAAATATAAGCATGTAAAGGTCATTTTTCTCTTTGTTAAATTAGGCCAGAAATGTTTGCTTTTTTAATTAAAGGAAGGTAGAAGATCAAGTGCATATATATTTATAATTGAGATGTATATCATAAACGTATTTTTGCCAGAAGTCAAAGGACTCGTTACGTGACGACAACGATATTTGATGTAGCAAGTCGTCGTTATTTTAAATTTGTACTTAGACACTTGAAAGAGACTATGCGCTTGAAGGTTGAGATCTGCAAAATGATAAACTTTACACACATATAGATAACATTAATCCTGACAAAAAGCTTGTTACTAAAGCAGATAAAGATATGGGATTTATAGATGAGATCTTGGGGCCGTGTCAAGTAGGCCCGTTGTAGAAAATGCGAAGGTAGCAGAGTCAAAGTCAGGGTTACCATTTCTTATAAAGGACATGTCACTTTATTATCTACCAATAAATTACAACAGTTCGTTTAAGATGTCATTTTTCATTCGATTTTTCATTTCGAAATTTGTAAATAACATGCAGTATCAGAGAACAAAAATATTAATATCAATCATTCCGCGTTTTAATTTTTTTAATGATCTACAAGTGTAACAAATTCAAAGCACGGAAAGAAGTAATAATGTGTAATGAGGAGCATATTTTTTTCGAATTTTCACAAACCCATCTGATTTCATTTGTTGAAAGTAACATGTAATAATCTGCAATTTTTTCAAGCTCAAATAATCATAAAATGAAATTATCTCCTTATAAACGGTATAGCACAGCTAGTAATTATTACAAACTTAGAAATTTAGTAAATTGAAATGTAACTGCTCAGGGGTTTATTCTTGCTCGCCAAGATTTTTCCACTTGAAATGCTTTAATATTCCTACTAGAGCGTAGCGCGTGCTCATTAATTTTCATAACCACTTTGAATGCGGGTACAAATTGTAATTTCATGTGATAGACTGAAATAACGAAACTATAGTTAACCGAGCAGAAAATTGGGTACAACGTCCCGTGTAGGTCGTTAGTCACTGTAAAAAATATGAAAATTAATATCTAGCTTAGTAAATAGAATTAAAAGTTGTATTTTGTGAACAGTTTGCGATTTCCATATAAAAGGGGAACATGGGAAGTTGTATTCAATATAAGAAAACGACCAGATAAGCAATTTTACTTCGCATGTTTGATGTCAACACAAACTCTTCCTTTCACATTAAATAAATCTCCGTGGATATTTAGACACGTGTGTATAAAATTATTCGCAAAAAATAAAAACTTCGGGAAAATAATGAATTTTTAATGTATGAATTAAGTCAGAATATACGAACATAACCGATTATAGTACAATATTAAACAAAATAAAATCACATTTACTTTGTATATTGTATAAATTATTCAAATTCTCATAATATGATTTTCCTACAAAGGAAAACAATGTAACTTTGCAGAAATTTGAAAATGATTATCAAACTATGCTTTCGTTATGCGTGGTTTTAGAGAAATAGATCGTGAATGTACTAAAGAAAGCAGTGGTTTGAGGCTATGGTGTGATTGAAATGATGGTGTGATTGAAATGATGGTGTGATTGAAATGGGCTCTTAGAACCATTGGTTGAAATGTCGGCCTACTCTTAATCAAGGATTTATTTTTAATACATTATCCTGAGATATTATATGTATATTTTTATTAGGTTTAGGATTGGTATGTCCTGCACATGGAATGTGATATTGTTATAAGGGTCTGGAAATAAACTTTTGCCTAAGAGGGTCATACATCTTCAGTTTACCACGAAAATGAAGTGGCTGTCGTGTACATGAAGAGTCTTGCTGTTATAATTTGTGTTTACTTTATTCCCTAACTAAAGAATTAGCATCAATTAAGCACTAATTATTAACAGGTCACGGTTATTTGAGAAGATTTGATATAAGAGATCATAGTATGAATTGGTCATTTCTTGGTCAGCTAAGTGTCTCGAGTGGATGGGATCATAAAATGTAACTCCTTGACCTTTCAGTATCCGAAAATGTAAAACATTTGTCCCGGCGATGACTATATACTAATAAAACATGTGAGTTATTGTTGTGTATAAGATACTTGTACATGTACAAATATTGATGATACATGCATAAGATTTATCTATCCAGAAAACACAGTATATTTTTGATACACTCATGTATAATTGTGTAATGAAGAAAATTATACATGCAGTATGGTCATATAATTTTTAATTTGACATTAATTATTAAAGCTAATCTATACATTATCAACTATCTTTTATTTCATTCCTCCAGTTTTGAATTTTATATCAGATTAGATTCTAATAATATTATAAACAAATGCGCGTTTCAATTTATAAATGCATTTTTTATTTCGTTGTGTGGTCGTTTTATATTATTATATTATTATTATTTTGTTGTCTTCTTTCAATTTTTAAAGTTATGTGCCACTGTCCGGTGATTGATACATCATCTATGTACATGTTGACATACAACACATTGTCATTGATTTATAGTGGTCGAATGGTGCCGTTACATAGTAAAACTTGTCATTACTGTTTTACAGTGATAGACCACTCACTTTAACTTGTCAATTTTAACAAGTGAATATCACCTTCAAGCTCTAATTACTTGAATTATGACATTTTGGCCTCTTATATTTGATCATTGTCAAAATAAATTGTGACTTATACATTCCGCGTTTTAAAAAATATTTTCGGTAATTGTAACAAAACTTGAAGAGGCAAGGATCACAGCCGTGCTTGATTGAAACTTGTAGTGGAATGTCTTGGAATTCAAAATTTTATTTATTTAAAACATGTGACATACATGTATAAAACAAACAAATGAACATATAGAAAACAATCAAAAATTCATGAAATTGTAAAATAATCAATATTAATGAGTATAATTAAAATGAAAGAGACCCGCCATTGATGAGAACTCACGACCTTTCAGAACATAAACTATTAGTAGTCGTAAATAGCAACAATCTGTCAGTCAAAAGCGATGGCCTGTATATTTATATTTTATGCAACACAAGTTTAGTGAGGTCAACCACAGAAAATCTTGCAGATCGCGTGTTTACGTTTTCATGACATCGCCATTTTGAACTAGCTTTATTGTGAACTTTAAATCATGGAGGCTGTCATGATATTAATATAAGCTGGTGAAGTTATTATAAATCTGTTATGGTAATATAAGACAACAGGTTAGCGAAGCTGAATGTTTATGCCGTCTTTACAGTTTATGACAAATTGTCTTTCCGCGAGAGAAAGGAATTTCTCTGATTTGCATTTTAGTTGTGGCTTAAAATAGCCTTCTTACGTCTACATGTACGATATCAAATATTTTAAGTAGCCCACACGATGACTATGTTAAGTTAATAATTAAGTGTCCATCATTATACATGTTTAATTTACTTGAACGGATATTGTCAGTTGAGATAAAGTCGGAATTCGAAGAACAATTCATTAATTTGTTTTTCGTATAAGTCGTTAAAGTCACGTGATCACTATTGGAAATAATTTATTTAGTATCTAAAAAAAAACACCACGTTGTTTGATTTTTTTCTTACAGTACTTGAGTACTGCGAAAATGATTTATGTATTGTTATAATTTGTGTATTATTATAAGAAACTTTCAATCAAAATCAATGTCACAACATCTTGTTCATATACGGTTAAAGACCACCAAAAATCATAAGTTGTTCAATTGCCGCACGCTACTAAACATAGTGTTCAACGACTCAATATGATACTTGGTGTACAAAACATGCATTTTAACATTTGTGAAACAAAAGCACGATGAAACTTTAGGTGTAAGTGTTTAAATTATTCTGGGGAGGGGGGATATAGCAATTTGTTAGAACAAAGTTTTCATTAGAAAATTAATTAATTATTCACAGGTCACAGCATTATTATGGTCATGTTGTGTCGTATATTAGATTTCTGTGAAGCAATTTGATCCGCATAATCCGTCACTAGTCGTTGGGTTAACCAACGATCTATCACTGGAAGACAATCCGTCACCAAAAATATTCGTCAAGTTTTACGAAAACGTCGAACTCTCTAGTACGTAAACTAATTTGAAAACTTTGTCTCATAAATTACAGTGTCACCTGTTGGAATAAAGCGTTTAATGATTTATCTAGATGGAAATTAGTTGGTTTATTAAGCGAAAATACACCACCTCGATTACTTCACATGTCAATCTGATTTCATAAGCTAAATTTAAAACTCACATCAACGTTGAATTAAGTACAAAAGAATTGTAACGTTACGTTAGTATACGTTCGACGCTCCGAATTTATGTGCCCGGTGAAAATAATCGGTATCGCCTTAATAAACCTGTCCTCTTTTAGTAGTTTCCTTAATCATATATATGACTGCGGATAATAATTTGAATTTCCCGTTCAATAAGTTTTGGGTTCATCCGAGGACAAAAAAATAGTTCCTTGAGAAACGGTGTACCGGTAACTTATTGCGCCGTAAGAAAATAAAGAGTATAATTAGGCTTTTAAGGCAAACACTTGTCCGTCACAATAGTACCCCTCCAAATGTTGACACGCCTTCGGGTTGTACCATTCTTTCGCATGTTGCATCTTTATCATATTAATTATCAGTGACTTCAATAGCCTTATCCTATCTCAAATAATGTAGCTACTTTAAAAAACTTCCCAGATACAATTGAACTGACCATGTTTAAACATATAATTATTTTTTCATTCAATGTCTACACTCTTCAGGTTTTCAAAAAGGTTAAATTTTCTCAACACAACAAAAGGCAGAAGAAAAATAATGTCTGATATTTCAAAAACAGAAAAATGATACCGACTCTATTGGACACTTCATCAGGTTGGGAAAGCAGAAGTGAAATTAGTTAAGTTAAATCTAGTGACTGATTTGATATCAATATCACCTTTCCTGTCTAACACAATTTACAAGATGACATTTATTTAACTTATAAAAATAGGGAAAAGTTAGATAAACGTGGTACTAGATATCAATTTATCAGTAAGATTATTTCTTAATCGAGTGATTCAACGGTGGTTTTCAAAATACATTTTTACAAATCATGACTTAGAAAAATTCGACAATGCCAATGGTAAAATGGTAAATATACATTTATCGCGTTAATGACGTCATATCCGGTCATATTTCAAATTTATTACTCTCGGCTAAAGTCATAATCTCGTTATCGAATTTGTTACGCCAAACTTGCGCTTTTATTTCAAAATGTTCACTTTTTATTTTATTGTGTTCAATTACAGTCGAGTTTCTGCGTGCTTGAAGGTACGCGCAATAAAATAGTCCGTTTTAATTGCAGGATGGAGTTTACGTATACATTAATTGATGAAGTCAATGTGAAAAATTATAATTAATGCGGTTTTTACTTTTTTCGCCTCTCTGATTTCTGAATTAATCCGCATGACTTTATTATTTTTAAGACAGAATAATTTACAAGTTTTATTACAATATAACAAGTTTATTGAACCATTTGTACCGTTCGTTTAAACTCCTGGTCGGTTCAGCACCGTCATTTGATACAGCATGTAGGCATCCCCACCTTAAATAATTCATAATATAATACAATTCTAAATTTAAATGAGTGTAAACATTTTTTTTTAAAATTCCCCAAAATCGTTATGGCAGACTCCAGTCTGAGTATTTCCATTCAATCTTTTATTACACCCAGTAAAACTGGATTAGTTTACCAACAACAACAACCTACTAGTCTATCAGTCTTACCACATACATATTTGGTCCTTTTTTTCAAGCGCATTAAGTGCGAACATTTCGTGCTCATCTCTAACATTAGGTTAGTTAGTATTAGAGCTAAATTTTTCTCAATACCTTCGTAGGAAAAAAATTGGTTAAGGTAATCGAGTGAGTCATAAAATCTTAGATTAAATTACGGGTGGAAAAGAAGAAGTATGAAAAAAAATAAGCGTACATATTTCAATAAAAGCTATCCATATCCATCGACTTTAATGAAGATGTAAACGCGCCGCTATACTTTAACGTTTTACGCTTCTTTGTGTTTCTAAATTCAACATTTTTTTCCGACCGTAAAATGCTAATCTAAGATGATAGATTGACGCGTAAGAAATTAATCAAAATTAGGAAAACTCGTGCACACATGTGTCTTAACAATGATACAACACCTGTTGTGTAGTTTACCTCAGTCCGTTCCTCTACATGTATTAAGACAAATGAAAATAAAGATAGTTATCTAACCTTCCACTCTTTAGATTTATTAAGACTACTTTCACACTCTCTGAACATAACGGAATTACGAAAAAAATAGATAGGATACATTTTTTACCTCGGTAGCCACATCACTTTTTAAAGATTTTTGGTAAATTAACCGCTACAACGACCTGTGCTTGAAAACACATTTATCTCATCTATGAAATAAGATAGGTCGTGTCGTGAAGATTTTGTAAACACTGGATGACAAAATTATACCCGAACAGATTTAAAGTTTTTTTTTCAAAGCTTTGGATGTCCATAATTATGATGTTTATCCTAAACAAAAATCGTCCTCTCTAACAAAACATGGAATCGTTTCCAAAGAATGTTTATGATTAGGAAAAAAGTGATCAAAACAAAGTGAAGTAACAGTTGTGCTTTCCTTGTATATTTTCAGGTTACTGAACGAGGAAGAAAAGAGGCCGTTTGTGGACGAGGCAGAGAGACTTCGGGTCCAGCACAAGAAGGACCATCCCGACTACAAGTACCAGCCACGCCGTCGCAAACCTCTAAAGAACCCCAATCAGGACAACAACAACCCGAATCCACTTCCTAAAGGCGTAATGTTTAAAGGTTTGCCAGATGGATCACCTTCCAATATGAGTGACGATAGTAGTGATTGTTCGAGCCCTCACAACCCACACGGGCCTCCTACACCACCAGCCACACCAAACCACCAAGAACTCATGAACCTACAAAAGTGCATGAACGACCGTCTTCGGGCCAGACACATGCCAGGTAACTTATTTTCCTCTGAATTAGATAGGATATTAGAATATTTAAAGTAGTTATGCACCTTAAACAAAGTAAATACAGGTATAAATGATTTTATTAACTTCATTTAACGCTGTAAAAGGCTGAATACATATAACTGTGTAAAGAAAACAAAACAGTAAATGTATAAATCATCATACTTAATCATTTTATTTTTGATATTTCAGGTCACCCACAAGCCCAGCCAATAGATTTCAGTCGAGTGAATTTACAAGATCTAGGAGTGCCAGAGGTCATGCCCCTCGACACATTCGACGATCATGAACTTGATCAATATCTACCCAATGGTCTCCCAAATACAGGTCACATGACCAGCCACAACCAATCGGAGCAATACTCATCATGCTACCAAGGCAATGCTACGACATCAGCAGCATCATGGTCCGGTTGTTTCAGACCATCAACCGGTTCTTGCATGCAGGCTTACAGTGCTCTAACCAACTCTACGAATACAAGTAACGTAAACAACACGAACAATAACATTCCATCACCATACGATTTATCTGGCGCAAACTCACCTAACAATCAAGCAAACTCCCCAAATGCCATCCAAAACTCACAGCAGACGTCATCACCTACCGGAAGTATGCATAGTCCTGGTTTCCAAGGATCCAGTACAAACGCTAGCTGTAAAGTGAGAGACGATTCGGAGTCTGGAATAAAGATTGAACCAGCAAATCACCCACGTGGTCCTGCCCCGAGATACCCGTGTGATAATAAATTTGACTACAGTAACTCGTCCGTGTCTCGTTTCGAAGGAAGTGCTCACCAAAACATGACGTACACTCCGGGCAATACGCATGCGCAATATATGCACTCATTGAACTATTCACATATGGGCATGTCTCGGCAAATGTTCAACCCAATTGCTGCCGCCGTTCCCGGGGAACAACAGTGGGAAAGATATACTTGAAAAAACTGTCGTGAGTTCGATTCCCGATGGAGAAAAAGTTAAACTAGCACAACTGGCGGGGAGACCACAAATCTCTGATTTATACCGGGAACTTTGTCGAGAGCCAACGCAGAAAAGTGCTACATAGAAAACATGTATAATAGTTTTACTCCCCATTGTGTCGAGAGAAAAAATAACATAATGTAGCTTAGAAACAGTGCTTTATGTGAGAGAATATGTGTCCTGAACATTCTTCCAGGTTACATAGAACCTGTCATTGTGTAATGTTTTATGAATTTATGTTAAATTATTTATTTTCGCATTTATTCATTCATTTTGACATTGTTATTTCATTTATCATGTATAACTTAAGTTTTGCTTTCGCTATGTTTGTAAATTGTTTTATTTTAATTCAACTTTTGACAGAATTTATTTTAGTCCCGAATTGTAGGTGAACGTTTTTAAATTATGCTTTTATATCAAGACAGTGCATAAGAAATGTATTATTTAATAAATTTGTATGTGCCTTAAACTATTCTAAAATATTTCGTTTCATTTTGCAAACGACATTGCTAATTGTTATCGTTTTCATCTTCAAATATATCCATTAGAATTAACTGCTGTCTTTAAGTCATAAGTTTGAATGATTGTATAACTATGATCGTGTATTTCAAGAAAAATCACAATTCGCAAATCCATTATTTATTTGACACAAAAGGTCAGAGTATTATTCAACAGAAAACAAGTCATCCCGGTGCCTTGAATAACATTTTTGTATTTCTTACTGTATTTCATCTACATAAAGCATCATCTTGGCCACACCCATGCTGTATTTGGCCACGCCCATATACAAATAGTCCGTCGTGAAATATTTTTGTTCATGTATAATTTTTTTTTCTTTCAAGGAAAAAGATAGATTTCGATATATTTCTGTGTAAAAAAATTGTACGAATATATTTTTATAACTATAAAAATAGCATGCAATAGAAGACGTTTATTTTTAGAAAAAATGACGTAATTCTAATATTTTTGTATGAACTGTCTCCGTCTTCCAAATTCTTGCATATATAGAACTATGCAATATTAACAAGATATTTGTATTTTTGCATAATGTTTATGTTTTGAAGTCCATGCATATTAATTCTTTATTGCATATATATGTGTGTAAATATTAAAAAAAAGATGAAGCAAACCAGCTGAGTTGTCTTTTATATTTTGATTTTAAGAAATTTTAAATGTTGACCATAATTCATACATCTATTGGTTTTAAATCTGTCTAGTAAAATATTTTTAAAAAATCATAATTAGTTCAAAATAAACGTAAAAAACCATCGGACACTCTCTTGAGTAGTAAACAATGCAAGTGACAGTGAAAAATGAACCAATTCTCAAAATGTTCCCGGTTAACCAAGTTAACAATCATGATAAAAAATCAAATCGAGTCATAACTTTTGGTACCACTCTGCTTAACATAATTATGTCTGAAAGTGGTATGTAGGCGTATCATCAATAAGGCCGGGAAGTCGACCTATGACCCTGGCATTGTGAGTGATTGGTAGTAAAAGTTTTATTTCTTATAATTTTTATGATTTATTTGAATTTATGTTAGGGTTTTAAAACTGTTCAGTACAAATGTCGACTTACAAGTTATATTTGGAGAAAAAGAGGTTGTTTGCTGACATGATCGGACACTTTGCCTTCGATACTTTCCCGCCGTGAAACATTTCAAAGACCCACGGGAATTTGATTCTGAGGGGTGATAAAATAAAGAAAGAAAATAACACTAAATATAAAACTATCTCCAATAGGTGATGGAATTTAAAAATAATATAGACAGAGCGACAAAAGTGAGCTAATGTATGTTTTCATACTTTAGAAGAAAAGTGTACAAGTGTTGAAATTATGGGTACCCAGCAACTGTTGTAGTTACAACTACCCATCATCTAAGACTTTTTGTGTTTTCTTTAAAAATTGAGCTACCAACAGTATAGGGGCCTGGTCAGACTGGACTCTCTCTGTACCAGTCACGTATGATTTCAAACATTAGAATTACTGGAAGCAATCATTCGTTGGTCATTGGGGTCAGTAGAGGGTTTCTTAATGATCGCTCCGAACATCTATCTTTGTCAAAGCAGGGAGTGGAGTCTTACAAACCATGGTCATGTAATATTTTTGAATAAGAAATGAAATCATCTTCGAGAAGTGTTTCATATCCCGGTAACAAACGTAATGTTCTGATGTTCGTATATTTCACTATTTCAAGGGATATTTTCAATTTTCGTATTTAAATAAGATACATACACCTTACTCGTACTGTCATGAAAACGCATTTTAAAACAGCGATTTTATTACATAAAAACGAAGATTTTCTTTCAGTCAGTCATGGGAATCCTTGTTTTAAAGTGTAGATTTTTTAACTAAAAACAATTTTACACTCGATGGTCTTCCGGTTGTCGCAAATCGTGAAATTTTAACATGTTAAACTTCCACCTTGCACCATTAATTCGGCGAGAATATTTTCAGTTTTTGTATTATTTAATTTACGCGTCAACATTCAGTTGAAGGCTTCGCGGTCTCCGTGTCTTCTGTTATTCTATCAAACTAAACCAGCTGTTTTATCTTACTTTAAATATAAAAAATGACGGACCAATTAACAAAAAAAAAGCTGAATTAACCAGATGACCCCGTGCACGACATATTAAATTGTGTGTGTTACAAATGTGCACTAAGAAAAGGCGCTTTCTATTTATAGTTCACAAAATAGATATTTTACAGTTTTATGACTGAAACTGACAATTTCAATTTCATCTAATTTAATCAAATGGCAAATCCTGGATTAGAATAGAATGCCACAATAAAAGTTATATTCGTATTTAACAAAGAATTTACGTTCTTGCGCCAGTTTCTACAAATAATTATTCTCCAAAATCGCACTTTTCATATTTTATTTAACTTCGTCAGCATTTGTCAAGTTGTTATTTACCTATCAAAATATGTCTTTATTGTCTTCTTAAAATATTATATTTGTTAAGAAGACTTTTCTGACATGATGTGGACAAGAAAAAGTCGCAGATTGCGCATGCGCAGGAAAAAACCAGCTCTCGATTAACAGGCAAAATAGTACCTTCGCTCGTTTGATGGTTTCGTGACGTATGTAGGTTTTTGTAAGAAAATCTGGACAGGTAAACTAGAGTTTTTCAACACGTTCTAACTTACGTTCACTGTAATTAACTTGCAATTATTTTTAACATTTTTATGTTTATTTCGTATATATTCGTACGTGTTGTGGTTAAGAAAATGATAAATAAACTGTTTAAAGCGCGTGAAAATATCTGGCTTGAACATGTTTTTTCCTCGGAAAGCACCCGCGGTGAAATGTGCGGCAAAGGTGCGCGTCATTTAAACGAGTATAATTTTCCTTCAAAGGGACATATAGTAGATGGTAGATGGTTAAGTAAATATTATGTAGAAATGTAAATGACGGCTCAATGAATGTCAGAAAATGCACGATTTATACAACCTTAACCGATGAATTTGTCATTAATATTCAATTAACAGGATATGGACGCTAATTAGGGCCATCTTAGCAACAAATGCACGAGCTGACATAGCAGTCTGCATATTAGTGATACAATAAATTATATACGACTGTCCTTTACAATATGATACAACAGTTATACACGTGCTTGTTACTTATTAGTAATATTTGAGAAAATAATATCTTGGGTCACAGAGACATACATGTAAATTGCAAGCTAATTGCAAGCTGTATAAGACTTTTTTTTATATAAATATGATAATTATTTGGCAATCATCGAGAAGGCAAATGACAACTTCTTTGGTTAACTGATGCGAGTATTCAGTGAGGGTGAGATATCAAGTACCCTTCTGTAGAAAGTCCAACGATCATCGACCTTTTACAAGCTGAGCGTCATAAACTTATCGTTCTTTTTGGGAGTTCAACCAGTGATAAAAAAGTGAGAAAACAATCAGTGAACTAAGCTCTGCAAAGACAGCCCAATTTTCAGAATAAAAGTAACAAAAAACGCATGGGTTCAAACCCCGTCAAGAGCAAGCCTTTATTTGTTTAGTGAAACGTGCATCTATAAGCTTATTATTATAATAGCTTTCTAAACATTAACTAAATAAATTCTATATAAACTAACAGCCCTAATTTTCGCATAATTAACATTTATATTCAAATACTCCGACGGGAAACTGAAAAGAAATTTCACCACAGCGACAGATTTTCGATTTATTACCTAATATATTCGAATATATTCGAATTATATTGAATTTCTAACTTATATTAACACGAAAAACGTAAACTATCAGTATTGGGTAATGGAACTTTAATGTCCCGAGACATAAAAGTTATTGACGCAGCTGTAACTTAAGCCAAATGCGTATCACAAATACAAACTCGAGAAAATAAAAGAGTCAATAAAAAGACATTTAAAACACATTAATGAACAGATTACGCACAGGTTAAAAGTACCTTTACATTGCATTCATTATGCACTCTTTATTACGTAACTTGATTCGAAGGCTATCAAACGCCCGGATGTGCACGAATGTCTCTTAACCCGCGACTATTCAATAAATTCAACGGCTCCCTGACCGTCATCAAAAGACGTAACAGTTTTCTCTTAATTTGACAACGATTTAAAAGAAATTGGTGAAAAATTAATGATTTCTGAATTGATTTTTTACAATCAATCTAAACAAATAAAATAGCTGGCTTTTACAATTTACAGATATAAAGGAGCAGTGATATAATGGCACGCGTTAATTTCTTCGCAGACGACAATTTACGAGAGGTCATATTATGATAGTAAAATGTTAAAATATCATTTGTTATTGCCTATTTATGTTATGTTTTTCTTTACATATTTTTACGTTTAAAGCGACAAAAACTTGTAAATATTCGCCAACTACTGACATTTTTTTCTACTTTTTACTTATTTTATGTTTATAAATAGTTTTTGTAACATTTAAGATTAGTGGTATTTGTAGCCAGTGACTGTTTGCACTATATACAAGTGTCTGTGACCTTTTAACTGCACTGTGTAACCTTGCGATACTTTTAACGCCACCACCAAAGAAATAGATCTTCGTGTAGGTATATCAGAGTCTTACTTAATTAGTTTACTATACCAAATTGACGTTTGTAAAAACGCAATGTAACTTTTTTGGTCCATTAAAAAACACAACTCACCAAGTCTTTTTATGAATTCACTTTACCAAAGTGTGTGTATATCTAATAATTATTTATACAATAAAATATTATTAAATTAAACCTTCTTGTACTTCAGAGTATATCTACCAATATATTTGATTATATCAAGTTATTTATTGTTCCATATTTTATGCCAGTATCTTAGAAACAAATAAGGCATCAATACCATTATTCAATTGTACTTTAATTTTAATCTAAATTTAATGCCATATTGATAAATAATGTTGTAAATGTACAATAATACCGTAGACTTTTTAATCACATGTATACATTGTAATCGTATTGGGTAATTAAACACTATAACATAAGAATATAAGACATATAAGAATCAATATTGTTTTAATACTAAATGAGCTTTGACCCAAATATATATTATGAAATCTGCTCATTTGAATATAAAATTTTGGAACACAGGAACGGTCAACTAGCAGAATAAACTGAATCTCTGTTAATGCAAAACGTGTAAGTAAATTTCTGTTCATATTTTTATTCAAACAATTTTCATGATGAGCATAAAAAAACATCAAACAAACTTAAACACAATCATTGTTT